CGCCCCCGGTCCTGACCGCTCCGGCCCTGCTCTCTCCTCAGGGGCGTGGAGAACTCTGATTGAGAAGGTGCAAGAGGCCCGAGGGCACGCCCGGCTCCGGCATCTCTCCTTCAGTGGCAAGTGGAGGGGCTGCCGGTGGGCGGAGAGCTGGGAGGCCTCGGAGAGGATGAGAGGGGCCTCCGACGCGACGTGTGTGTCCTCACCTCTGTCCCCAGGAATGAGCGGGGCGAGGCTCCTGGGCATCCACCACGACGCTGTCATCTTCCTGGCAGAGCAGCTGCCCGGGGCCCAGCGCTGCCAGCACTACAAGTTCCGCTACCACCAGCAGGGAGAGGGCCAGGAGGAGCCGCCCCTGAATCCCCACGGGGCGGCCCGCGCCGAGGTCTATCTCCGGTGAGGCGCCTGGGCAGCCCCGGGGCAGTTCTCGGGCGTGGCGGTTAGGTCTTTAGAGCTTGGGAACTGAGGCCTGGGAGAAGATGCCAGGCCGCCCCAGAAGTAGCCCTGGAGTTCCCGGCACAAGAGGGAGCCCCATCCATTCCCCTTTCACTCCGTCTCCGGGGGTAGCAGTATTTCTCCTTTGCTAGCAGCCCGCCCGGGGCCAGAGGGTAGGTAGGTGGCGTCTCTTGGAAGGAATGACTGTTACCCTCCCTCCTTCCTTCCTCCTTCCCTCCCTGCTGCAGGAAGTGCACCTTTGACATGTTCAACTTCCTGGCCTCCCAGCACCGGGTGCTCCCCGAGGGAGCCACCTGTGACGAGGAAGAGGATGAGGTGCAGCTCAGGTCAACCAGGTATGGAGGGCAGGCCGGGGTGCTGGGGCTGTTCTGGAAGGGTCCTCAAGAGGGTGACCAGGGGCAAGAGAGGTCATTCCTGGGTACCGGCCTGTGACACTGCTGACCCCACCAGACGTGCCACCAGCCTGGAGCTGCCCATGGCCATGCGCTTTCGCCACCTCAAGAAGACATCCAAAGAGGCTGTGGGTGTCTACAGGTTAGTGGGGTCGGGGGGGGAGGATGCCCCTTGGGTGGATGGACAGGTGCCCCGGTGCGGGGCTGCCTTGGTTCTGTCCCCCTGCCCCCTGAGCTCCCCCTGGCCCATCCTCCCCTGCAGATCTGCCATCCACGGACGGGGCCTGTTCTGTAAGCGAAACATCGATGCCGGCGAGATGGTCATCGAGTATTCCGGCATCGTCATTCGCTCCGTGCTCACCGACAAGCGGGAGAAGTTCTACGATGGGAAGGTGGGCTCCACGGGGCCATGGGGATGAGGTGGGCGAAGCGGCGGGGGGAGGAGGCGGGGGGGGGGGGGGGGCTGGGCCGTGGGAATGGAGCACCTGACCGGCCCCGTCGTGGTCCCCGTAGGGTATCGGGTGCTACATGTTCCGTATGGATGACTTTGACGTGGTGGACGCCACGATGCACGGCAACGCCGCGCGCTTCATCAACCACTCGTGTGAGCCCAACTGCTTCTCTCGGGTCATCCACGTGGAGGGTCAGAAGCACATCGTCATCTTCGCCCTGCGCCGCATCCTGCGAGGCGAGGAGCTCACCTATGACTACAAGTTCCCCATCGAGGATGCCAGCAACAAGCTGCCCTGCAACTGCGGCGCCAAGCGCTGCCGTCGCTTCCTGAACTAAGGCCGCGGCTGCCCGACCCCGCCGCCGTCGTGCCCCGAGTCTGGGGGCTCCCGAGTCCCTCCCAGAGCATCTCACCCCCACCCTCCTGTTGAGGGTGGTTGTGGGCCTACAGGTGGCAGAGGCCCTGCCTCCACCCCTCCAGCCCACCCAGCAATCGCCCCCTTCTTGCCCTGGGGGCCCAGGATGTAGATACTGTACAAAGGTTTCTAAATCCCTTCTTTTCTATGCACTTTTTTATTTAAGAGGGTGGGTTCCCAGGTGGGAACCCCCCATAATAAAGTCTGTCAATGTTTGGAGAGGTGGTCTTCCGGTTTGTATGGTGCTGGGGGCAGGTAGGAGCTCCCGTTTCTCCACACCGGTCCCGAGCCGAGGGAAGCCTGGCAGCCTGAGCAGGGGGCGGGAGGCCATCACTCAGACTTACAGGTAAATCGTGGGGGTCTCTTACAGCGTCAGAGCAACGTGTGCTCTCCGGATTCCCACTCAGAACCCGGCGGGGTCCCTGCGGATGAGAGCCCTTCCAGGGGTAGCAGGGCCCTTTCCCGGAGAGGACCTTGGTTGCCCGGAGGCACCGGAGGCCAGCTCTCAGTGGCGCCTCAGGCCGTATCTGGTCTCGTGTACGTGCTGGAAGGAGAGGATTCCTGTTGGGTCTCGGCCCAATGAGGACTGTATTTCAAAAGCACGCCTTAATGAGGCCCGGAGACGGCAGGCGCTTATTTCACGGGAAACTTTATTGAGAACGAGGCTGGGCAAGGCCCGGATCAGCCGAGTTTGGACAGCACCTGCAGCGCGTCTGCCCGCCCCAGCTGGGCCAGGTGTGTGCCGAGCTGGCCCAGAGAAGCAGAGGGCTCCCTCGCCACCACCATCTCAACCAAGGCCCGCAGCGGCGAGCACCTGGGCCGCAGTGAGTAGGCGAAGGTGGACCAGGCGGCAGGCAGCCCGTACCTCGCTGCCAGGTGTCTCGTGGTGCCACAGGCCGTCCCCCCACCCGGCCCAGGCTCGGGATCCAGCAGCACCACGAGCTCCTCCAGCACCTCCAGCTCCTCCAGCAGGCGAGACAGGGGCTGCGAGGCCAGCTTCGGCAGTTCTGGGAGAGCCGTGGAGGGGTGATGGAGAGGAAGGGCAATCTCCCAGGCCACCCTCTCCCTCCCTGGCCTGTCCCCGACTAACCTCTGCCCACGAGTGGAACCAGAGCCGCCTCCTTCGGTGGGGCCCCTGCCTCGGATGCCTCCTGGGAGCCTGAAGAGGACGAGTGTGCGGGGAAGAGGGTATGGATGTTGGTGTTGCCACAAACCACGCCAGGACATGGGTGGAGGACAACTTTCGCCCGGCGGTGGCACCGCTGGGCGAGCAGGAGGATCACTGCTGAGGTCACCAGCAGACCCAGCACCATGAGAACCAGCACGACCGGCAGGGCAAAATCCGGCAAGGCCTGCTGAGCGACCTTGCGCTCCAATGTCCACGAAAGACTGGAGATCGCCGATGGGCCGGGCTCCTGGGAGCTAAGGACCACTGGTCTCCCAGACTTCAGGGGGCAGGGCTCCTTCGGAGGGACCGACCTCTGCAAATAGGTTGGAAGAAAGCGGGAGGTATGCCCCACTCCCGGCCCCTCAGCCTGAACCTCCATCCTTCTATCCCTCCGTGGGACCAAATCCCCGCCCGATCCAGCTATCCCCCCACGCTCCCCCGCCCCCCTCCCACACACTTTAACCCAGGTGGGTCCCCAGATCCTATTATGCCCCCACCCCATCCTCTTCAGTGGGGCTACACCCCCCCTCCCTTGATCCAGACCCCGCCCATCCAACCCAAACCACGCCCTCCACCCCCGCTCCGCCTCCCGCAAGCCGCACCCCAGCCCAGGCCCTCCGGAGCCCGACCAGCACCTCTCTGCAGCGCCGCTGTGTTCCGCTCCGGCTCCCCGCGGGAGCAGGCGCCGTGGCTCCGCCGCCACAGGGGCTACATAGCTCCGCATTGTCGGGGTTGCACTGTCCAATAGGACACTCTTTGAAGGGGCGGGACACGTGATCGCCAGAGTCATTGAGCCCGCAGTTTTCCGAAAACTCGTAGTCTGGTGGGAAACAGGGTCTCACGTGTGGCCGCCCAGCCCCTCCTCTCCGGCACTAGCGACACCCTTTCCCCTTTGTCCTATCCCAGCAGGCCCCACCCCTTGGACTCCACTAACCCAACCTATCACCGACGTGCCCACCCCCCCCGCACGAGCCCTGCCAGTCTCGAGACCCTCTCCTCACAGGCCCCGCCCCCCCACTACCCCCACCCAGCTCGGGCACCAAGCCCCGCCCACTCCTGATTTAGCCACACACCTCACCCTTTGAACACTGCCGCGACCCCGCCCAACAGGCAATACCCCTTTGCCGTGGCCCTATCGTAACCGGTACTATCCCTTCCATCACAGGCTGAGCCCCACATTGTCTCATCTGCGTTAAGGCCCGCCGCCCCCTCCCCGAAGCAAGCCTCACAGACAATAACCCACAGACTTCCTCCCTTCCCTGGCTCCTTATCACCCCCTGGCTCCGTCCGAACATACGCATACCCCCGTCCGGGCTCCTCACCCGGGCAGGGGGGCGGCCCAAAGCGCTGCAGGCAGCTGCCGCAGCACCGGTTATCAGGGTTCCAGTACTCGAGGCGCCCGCAGTGCTGGGAGGCCCCCCGAGGCGCCGCCGGGGCCAGGAGCAGCGCGGCAGTCAGGAGGAGGCACCGGGGCCCCCCCATCCGGGCGAGGTCTGCAGCCTCGAGGGGGGCCGTGACCGCAGGACTTCCGACCGCAGCGCTTCTGTCACACTTTCCAGGAAACCCGGGCAGAAGAAGGAAGCAGTGATGTGGGGGCATGGGATCCCCAGACCCCTTTGGAAGATGGGAGTCTACCCCTAGCCCCTAGTCCAGCTCCTGGCCCATTATGAGAAGGGCCAGCAAGGCCTCAAGATGGCTAGAATGAGGAGTCCGGAACCACAACGATGGGACTCATATCCCACCTCTGCCATCTTCCTTACGTCTTTTCTCAACCCTAAAATGGGATGACAGTACCTGTCTCAAAGGTCTATTGTGAAGAATTAACATCATTGCTTGAAGTAAAGCACTTAGAATAGCACCTGGCATATGGTAAGCTTAAGGAGTAGGTTATTTCCAACTCCCACGGCAGGGCAGCTGACATGGAGGACCCAGCCCTCACCTTCTGGAGACTCCCACTCAATTCCCAGTAACCCTTAGCTCCCTAAACCCAATCTCCTCCCGGCTGGGAATCCTCCAACCTGCCACAACCAGGCGCCTCCCCCTTGAGAAGCCGGAGACAGCCGTGCTGAGGTTCCCGGCACAGAGGCGTCCCCACCCCAACCAGTCCCACTGAGGGGTTTCTAGAGCCCTGGGCCCTGAACCTGCTGCTTTCCCACCTGTTGTTGGACGTTCTTCAGCAGAAGCTGTGGCCAGAGCCCAGCCCGCTTCCCCTTTTCGTCAGGTGTGGGGGTGGAAGGAAACTCCTGCCCACAGCTAGGCTCAAGCTAACAGGTTCTAAACCCTCAATACAGAACTTTATTAGGGGAGGGGTGGTGAGAGAAGGTCCCTGTGTTGAACAGATTTACATCATGGAGCCCCGGAGCCTAGGGAAGATGGCACTGGGGGGTTAAGGGAGCTTTCAGGAGGGGTCCTGGCCAGGAACATTTATGCCTGTCAAGGGTGGAGATCAAGGGAGCCAGGGTCTCAGAAGCGGCCATGCCGGTGGTCTGGGGAACGTCGTCGGTTTCTTTCTCGGGGACGGTGGCCGGTATGGGACCTCGGGGGCGACCTGGGGACAGGAGTAGAGAGATGAGGGTTAGAGCTGGAAGGAGTACGGCACCATTCCCCGGGTCTGCCTCTCTGCTCTGGGATGGGGCAGGTAACCAGAGTTCCTGCGTGGTATCAGGACAGGTTCTCAGGGACTGATCTCCGGACTGGAGATCCAGACTGGTCTTGGGTTTGGGGCTTTGGAGTCCCAGCTGGTTTGGGGGTTGAGACTCAGGCGCTGGTCTTTGGACGGTGCTCAGAGCTAGTCTTTGGATACAAAAGAGAGACGCTGTTATTGGGGCACAGGATCAGGTCCACCTCGGAGTATAAGGGCCCTTAGGGTATGAGGTATCTTGACAGGCTGGTCCTGAGGTACCTGCGCCTGGGTCCCCGCCCATACAGCTGACGTCGGAGGTTCCGGGAGATGGGCCGCAGGTGCATGAAGTTGCAGAAGCCCCCGCGGGTACATTCCCTGGGTAGAGGATGGATGGATGGATGGATGGATGGACGAGGCTGTTGGCAATGACAGCACCCCAACACACAGGAGTCTGGGACTCCAGGTGCCCATCCCACCCCCATACTACCATACCCCATCTCATACTGCCGGCAGCATGACTCCCGGAAGTCGGTGACAGGAGAGAGCTCAGCATGCACGGCCTGCCCGTTGAACCAGCGGTTATTGAGTTCAGCCACTGCCCGCTCTGCATCCTCTTCCCGCCGAAACTGAGGGCAAAGTCGATCAGGGTCAGCAATCACACTCGGAAGTCTTTAGGGGATTAGTCAGCAGCTCTGGGGCCGGGATGGATTTAGTGATGGACCTCAAGCTGTGAGGCTTCAGTGGTGGCCATCAGGCACTGAAATGCCTCCACCTCTAGGCTCTCATGTGGGGACAGGAGGCACCTTGACATAGACATTGCCCACGAGGTGATCCCCCAGGTTGTCGCACACATTCATCTCTTCAATCTCCCCGTACTTCTCCTGCAGCTCCGTGAACACCTCCTGCGGAAGACCGGGAGAAACTCAGCTGAGCTCCTGTTCCACAGGAAACTCAGCCCATCCCTTGCCAACCCTCACCTCGAAGAAGTTATCATAGTGTTCTTGCACCTCCACGTCGCTCACGTGACCTGGGGAGGGGCAGGGTGAAATCAGCGGGCGGCCTGTTGGGGGCTGTCCGCCCTGCCCCCAAGACCGGTCCCTCACTCACAGTGCGATCCGTCTGCGGTTTGGGCGGTGTTCTGTGGATTCCGGTACAGGTTGAGAAGCACTATGGTCTGAACAGAATTTAAAGGGGGCGGGGCCTGAGCGCATGCAAAGGGGTGAGGTGAGGCATGAAGGCTGGGGGTGACACTTGGCAACAGAGAAGAAGCCTAAGCATCTTGAGTGCATCAAGCGATGCTTGCCCCTAAGGAAACCAGAAGAGACACCTAGCACTCGGGGACAGCCCAGCGGTGTAATTCGTACGTACGGGGGTAGTGGCCAAGTTCCTGGGAGAAAGGCCTGAAGGAAAGGGGAGGAACCTGCAGAGGCCCGACACGAAAAAAGCCGGTGGTGGGGTGGGGCTTAGAAATCCGGAAAAGGCGGGACCTCGTGGTGATGGCCAACAGAAGGGGAATGGCCGGAAGGCGTTAACCCTCAAGGCTCCGTGCCGGGTCTCACCTGGCTGAAAGTCGGTTTGTTGTGAAGCCGGGAGCACCGGTCCCCGTGCCGGCAGGCCCCGATCTTAAAGTAAAAAGAGCAGTTAACCCTGGAAGAGGTGCAAAGACAGAGGTGAACCGAGGGCCGGGAAGGCCGGACACCCCAGAAACACCGCCCAACGCCTCCCAGCCACCAGGGAACCAAATGTCCCGGTCCCGGCCCCCGCAAGGGGCCACTCCCTGCGCCCGTTCTCACTTGTCCTTTTCAGTCCCGAATATCGAAGCTAAATATTCAGCCATTTTTACCCGAACCCTCCAACTCTCTCTGCTCTTTACGTCATTTCCGTTGCTTAAGAGCATTGGGAAGTGTAGTTCGTCGCTGCCTCCCGACACAGCACGCGCTCAGAAACTGCCTACTGCGCTTGCGGGTTAGAGGCCTGCGCCCTCCCCGCAAAATCACCACCTGGCGTTCCCTGAAGGCGCATGCGTGCAGCGTTGCCTCATCCAAAAAGACTACAAACTCCAGAGATACTTGCCGAATCTCGCGCAAACGTCCGACGTTGAAAGTGGCTAAGGCTTCCAAGCGGAGGAAGTGGACTGCACTGGTGAGTTGGGGGCCGTTCGCGCCCCCGAATAAACATGAAGGGCGTTCGACCCAGTCAGCTTGCTGGTGGGGACCGGGGTACCCTTCTTTCAGCAAACCCGCCCTTCAGTTTATCTCCGTTTTGTCGCTATAGGGGCGTGGTTGTTCGCGATCCCTGCATCTGTCACTTGGGGTCAAGGCTTGGCTCCTGCCCTGCAGACCCGCGGGACGACTCGGCCTCAGCGCAACTATGAACTTGGAGCGGGTGTCTAACGAGGAGAAGTTGAATCTGTGCCGGAAGTACTACCTGGGTAAGGGCCGGTTCCTAGGATCCCAGGAGAAGAGAGGGGACCGGACTAGAGCGCCTGAGGGAAGAGAGCCTGGGGGCCTGGATTCTTGAGTCTTAAGGGATAAAGCGACTGGGGTTGCGGACTCCTGGGTCTGAGGGAAGGGCCTGGGACCTGAGGAAAGAGGAGGCTGGAGCCTCAGCTTCTGGGTCCCAAGAGACGGGATAGTTGGGCCGGACTCTGGGTCCTGAGAAAGAGATGAACGAGGAGTCAGATTTTAGGGCCCTGGGGCGGGGCAGGATTTCTAAGTCTCTGATAGCAGAGATCTCCATTTGAACTTGGAGATGGGGGAGGGCCTTCCGTCCTCTAGGTGGGAGTTGGGGGCAGGGGGAGGGGAGGGAGAGGAGGATCCTCACTGCCTTACGCTCCAGTTTGGTTTTTTTTCCTCTTAGGTGGGTTTGCTTTCCTGCCTTTCCTCTGGTTGGTCAACATCTTCTGGTTCTTCCGAGAGGCCTTCCTTGTCCCAGCATACACGGAGCAGAGCCAAATCAAAGGCTGTGAGTCCAGCGCACGGATGAAGGGAGGCCATCAGGTGTTGGCAGGGAATGATGGAGGTTCCAAAATCATGGGGTTCTGGAAGAGGAGAGAGGGCCAGCGGGGGGCGGGGCGGGGGGCGGGGGGGCAGGGGGGGGCCGGCCTTACCCATTCCTGTTCCCTTTTACAGATGTCTGGCGCTCAGCTTTGGGCTTCCTCTTCTGGGTGATTGTGCTCACCACCTGGATCACCATCTTCCAGATCTACCGGCCTCGTTGGGGCGCCCTTGGTGACTACCTCTCCTTCACCATACCCCTGGGTACTCCCTGATAGCTTCCTCCACACAGGCCTGGGACCTGCTCATTCGCCCAGGATGGGCTTCTCTACTCTAAGCTCATTCTCAAACCCCTAAGACTTGTTCCCATTTCCTATGTTCTTTGCTGACATCCCCCAATAAAGGACTCTAATTCTCTATATTGACTTCCTGGATCTTTTGGAGGTTGAAGCATAAAATGATTATTACCATTCAGAAATATGTATTGAATGCCCACTTTGTGCCAGGCTTAGTGCTTCACCCATCATGTGCAATCCTTCATTCTCTGCACCCTCTGAAATAGCAACTTTCCTGCTCAGGAACCCCGTTTTCCAGATGCAGAACTAAGAAAGGAATAACGCTTGCATTACTAGGGGCTTTTATCCTGTGCTGGTGGTGTGTGAATTTGAAAACTGTACTTTCCCCCTTGGTCTCGGTATTCTCATCAGAAATGTGGATATCAGTGCTACCTCCTAGAATTTATCTGAGCCAAAACATGCGGTAAATGGAAGTTTCCCATTTTCTGAAGATGTTGTCCGCAGCAACAGATATAGCCAAGAGCTTTATCGGAGAAGTCTTCCTTGACCATCTTATTTAAAATTCCAATCCCTGCCTTGGTAGTCCCGATGTGCCTTCAGCTTGTATCCTTTCTCATCACATTTCATTTAAAACGCTCCACTTGTTTCTTGTAACCTTACATCCTCCAAAATATACGCTCTATTACGTTTTGTTCAGTGCAGTGTCCCCAGTGCCTAGAAGAGTGCCTGGCCCACTAATAAATACTTGCTAAATAAAAGGTTGTGCCTGAAGAGAGGTTAACAGGTAGCTGGCACCTAGCGAGTGCTCAGTGAGACTGAACCCGGCCTAACTCCAGACTTCTCCTCCTCAGGAACAAGAAGGACTCCCACGGTTAAATAAACGGGTCAACAGCTAAACTGGTGTTGCTCAAAGGTTCTAACACTACAAGTTCCAAGAAGCCTCGCGAAGCCCTGATCCTCCATCACCCACCGTGCCTCGCGCGGCGCAGGCGCCGTTACTCTGGCTGCGTCTTGGGAGCTGGAACTACACCTCCCAGGAAGCGCTCCGGGATGTTGTTGGTTTGTTTCCGGAAACGGGGCCTCAGAAAGGTGGGACTTAGACCTGGGAGCCGATGGCGGCAGCTGTCAATTGGTCAGGGACGAGATCGACGGTCGCACCGACAAATGGAAATAAGAAATTGCCAAAGGGGCCCGCCCACAGAAGGGAAACTAGTGGAGGTGGCGGCTGCGGTGGCGGTCGCCGCCGGACACTTCCTCAGCGCGGAGGACTGGGCGCACACAAAGCTTACCTTGACCTCTTCCCGTCTGCCTTCAGCTTTGATTTGTGACCCTGGGCTCTTCTGGGCTCCTCTGACCCAGTTAGCCACACTTCAGACCCAAACCATGTTCCCGGTGAAGGTGAAAGTGGAGAAATCAGGTGAGGACCCCGAGGTAGGGGGCTTTTAGGGGAGCACTGACCGAGCGGGGTATGGGAGTCCCGAAAGACAGGATTATCGCGATAAGACGGACCACGCGACTTCTTCCTGCCGCCCACCTGACTACCGCTATGTCAGGCATGGAACGATTCCTGCCCTCCTCATACCTTCCCGGTTTGTGCTCAAGGTGGCGTTGAGATTGAATGGTGGTGGCTCAGACCGTGTGGTGCGGTAAGACACCGGGATCGGAGCCGTGTGACTCTGAAAGGGACTCTTCTTGGCTCTGCCTCAGTTGCCCTGTTTCCAGCAATGGTCATCTCCAGCAAAGGTGCTTGGCGCCTGAAGTACAGGGAAGCTTTTAATCCTGGCAGTCACTGTACCCCAACAATCCTAGGAAGTAGGAGAAGTGTGGTGGATGGGGAAACCGAGGCTGAGAGAGAGGAAGTCATTTTCAGTTGGGCCCGAGTTGATGGGAAACCAGGACTGGCATATCGTGGTGGGAGAGGCACGGAATCCAGACCAAAAAAAAAAAAAGCAAAATGATGTGTAGGGTGTTAGATGGTATAAGTGGTAATAAAACAAAACGGGAGAAGGTGAGATCTGACAGGATGAGGGAGAGAGCTATGGGGATAGGTGAGAGAACAGCAAATCAGACCAAGGAAATAGGTCTGAAGAGGCCCTGAGGTGGAAGACTCATCTGGCCTGTGCAAGGACGGGCGGGGAGGCCAGTGTGGCTGGAGCAGAGCGAGTGAGGTGGGGAGCATGAGGGAATGACGGCAGAGAGCGAGAGGGAGGACAGATCTTGTGGGCGCAAGTTAGGACTTCGGCTTTTACTCTGAGGGAAATGGGGGGCCAAGGGAGGGTTTGAAGCTGAGGAGCGAGTTAATAAAAATGCCCCCCCCCAAATGCCAAAAGAATCGTGGGTGGAAGAGTAAAGGCTTGGCCACAAATGGTGGTTGGGGGGCAGGGGTAGGCAGGGTCATGGAGGCCTGTGAACACCGGGCCGAAGAGCTCAGTCCCGGGGCTCTGCAGAATCGTGGAGTGTTCTAAGCAGGAGAGGATCAGGGTTGGTTTGGTTTTCCAAAGAGTCCTCCGGCCACCTTGTGGAGGTTAGGTCAGAAGAGGAAATTGAGGCTGGGAGCCCAGGAGAAGGAAGGGAGAGGACCAGGGTAGGGAGGGGATACGTGGAGAGACACTCAGGAGGCCAAATGGACGGGCCACGGGGTTGGTAAAGCTGGGTGGGGGAGGATGAGAGGTGTCTATTACGAGACCCAGGGAGGGACTAGGGGACACCGGGGCTACCCCCGAGATGGGGGCCCAGGAAAAGGGGTAAAATTTAGAGAGGCACTAAGCCTAGTGTGGGACCCAGTAGATGGTAGGGGCCTAGGGGATGCTCAGGGAAAGGTATCTAGGAGACCATGGGATCCCAAGGTCTAAGGTTCAGAAGAGAAGCAGGGGCTAGGGAAAGAGATGTGGGTGTGATCTATACCTTGGCTCCTGCCCAGGGCTCTTGGCTAGAATCTCAGCTGCCCCTAGCCCTTCACCCCTACCCTGTCTCTCCTCAGTGATGTTGGGAATCCCTGTGTCTCCCCATCCCAGGGCTGGCAAAGCATGTCCCCAAGTGTCCTTCCAGGCTTTGAGCATTGGGCCAGAGTGATGCTAGGTACTGGTTGGAGGAAGAGAGCAAACACCTCACAAGAGCAAGAGGAGAATATTTATAACATCATCACCTCCTTAAGTTCTATGATGAGGGGAAGTAAACCCATAGGCTGACAGAGCCGGGAATGCAGGAAGGGGGGCCCAGATGTCATTTCCTGCCCAAAATGGATATTTTAGGTGCAGTCTCCAAATTATTAAATGTTGTCCTTTCAGATTTAGTTCAGATTTTAAATAACACCACTGCCTCAGCCAAACAGAGCACATCTGGGGGCTAGATTCTGCACCCAGTTTGAGTCTCTGCCTTATAACTTCAGCTGTGGAGCCAGATGGCCTGTGTGCAGATCTCAGCCCTGCAATTTCCTCGCTGTGTGACTTTGAGCAAGTAGCCCAACTTCTCTGTGCCTCAGTTTCATCATACATAAGATGGGGATAGTCATAGCTACCTGCCAGAGTTATTGTGAAAATGTAACGGGGTTAATGGGGGTGACGTGCTTGGAACAATTCTTGGCACATAAAAGTACTCTGTATAACGTACTTATATTATTACTGTTGTTGCTAAGAGAGTCATACACACCATAGGTTTATCTAAACCTCACAACAGTCCTTGCAGATAGGTATCATTGGGAGACCTATTTTCAAGATGAGGAAATAGGCTCAGTGAGGTAAGGTGACTTGCCTTTGGTCACACGTGAGCATGTGGGACAACCCTGGGGCCCAGCGCTCTTGCTCATCACATCAGTTGTCTTTGCCCACTGCACCCTCCTGGCTGAAGGCTTGGATACGCATGCCTCTCCCCCCGCCCAGTTGTCTGCCCACCTGCCTTGGGCCTGGGAACTGACTCCTGCTCGGTATCTTCTTCCCCAGAGTTGGAGATGGCCAAGGCCCGGAACCAACTCGATGCTGTTTTGCAGTGTCTGCTGGAGAAGAGTCACATGGACAGGTTGGAACCTGGCCAGGCACGGGTCATAGGGGGTTAGGGGTCCTGGCAAGTTGGACCCTCTTGGTCCTGGGGGGATCTGGGTAAGACCCCAGAGGCTGGCTTAGGGAGCAAGGGGCCCCATGGAAAAGCCACTCAGTGCCTTCCCACTCAGCCCTGGAAACCCCAAGCCCACAGTTCTCTTCTGCTACCAGGGAGCGTCTGGAGGAGGAAGCTGGGAAAACCCCCTCAGACACCCACAACAAGTAAGTTTTGTGGATGGGATCTGTATCTGAGGGTTTGTGCTGGACAACTTCGTGCCTCGTCCAAGCTTCCTCCACCATAGTCCTAACCACCCTGCATGTACAGAGACCCTGTGGCAGCAGAAGCTTAGGTCCCCTCATGGTTGCCACCTACAGCCCTGGAGGCGTGAGCGGGACACAGGGTCTAAGGGGTTGGTGGGGTCCATGCGAACATCTCAGTATCCCCAGGGCGCCCTTTGGGCGGTTTTGAGTGGGCATTTTTTCGAGGGTCAGCCTGCTGACACCTTGTCTCTCCCCACAGGGATTGTTCCATTGCAGCCACTGGCAAACGGTAAGGTGGCAGGGGCCCCAGCTGACTGACGGGAGGTCGCCAGCCCCCGCCCTGGTCCTGATGTTCTCCTGCCCCACACAGGCCATCCGCCCGCTTCCCCCACCAGCGGAGGAAGAAGAGGAGGGAGATGGATGACGGGCTGGCTGAGGGAGGGCCACAGCGATCCAGTGAGTAGGCAGTGGCTCTAGAGGGCAGGCCGGGTCGGGGAGCTGTGTGAGGATGGTCACACACTTTCCCCTCCCGTTACCCTAGACACGTATGTGATCAAGCTGTTTGACCGGAGTGTGGACTTGGCTCAGTTCAGTGAGAACACACCGCTCTACCCAATCTGCCGAGCCTGGATGCGCAACAGCCCCTCAGTGCGCGAGCGTGAACGCTCACCCAGCTCACCACTGCCCCCGCTGCCTGAGGATGAGGAGGTTGGATGTGTGGTGGGCCCCCTCTCAACAGCCAGTGGGTAGATGGTGAAAGATGTCCTCTCCCAAAGCTAGTGGGAGAGATGGGCACAGGTCTCTGTGATTTCTGGATCCGGTGAGGCACACAGATGCTAACCCTTTGGCCGAGGGTATGGCTGGAACTCCCTGAAGCAGACAGACATGACTGCCTGGCCGGAGAGGGACAAGGGACAGGGCTCCCTTGGGCAGGTAGATGTGACCTCCAAGATTAGAGGTTTCCAAAAGCTGGGGGGCTTGACAGGGGTCCTTACTGCAAACAGGTGTAGCCACCTGGCTTAGGGGAGCAGGTGGGGGTTACTGGGCTGGCTAGGAGTGATTGGGGGTCCCTGGGCTGGACAGAATACAGGCAGGGATCCCTGGGGCCGACATTTCTTTGACATGGCTCTTAAGACAGGTCCCCGGTGAGACCCTCGTGTCTGCTGTCACTGGGAAAGGCAGGAGGGGTGAAGTGTGTACTGCTGGCCCTCTTCTCTAACTCTCTTGGGCCTGGTGTGGGGCCCTTGTGTCCCCAGACTTCAGAGGTCACCAATAGCAAGAGTCGTGACGTGTACAAGCTGCCTCCACCCACAGCCCCTGGGCCACCTGGAGATGCTTGCAGATCCCGAATTCCATCCCCCCTGCAGCCTGAGATCCAGGGTACCCCTGATGATGAGGTGGGTATGCAGGCTGGCCCAGGGCCATGGGGCATATGGTACGGGGCTTGGGCATGGCCAACCCCTCCTGGCCTTTATCCACGCAGCCCTCCGAGCCTGAGCCCTCACCATCCACGCTCATCTACCGCAACATGCAGCGCTGGAAACGCATCCGCCAGAGGTGAGCGTCCCTGAACCTGCTTGTACCCCTATGGCTTCTTCCCCAGCTGCTGAGTCCTCCCTCTGCTTCTCTACCCCCAACACAGGTGGAAGGAGGCATCTCATCGGAACCAGCTTCGGTACTCAGAAAGCATGAAGATCCTACGGGAGATGTATGAGCGACAGTGATGTTCCCCTGCCCACCACATCCCCCCAATAAACATTCCCCTCCTTCCCACCTCCACACTGGCCTCTGCTTGCTCCAGCCCATATTTCCCGGCGCAGACATAAAGCAGTTGGCACAGCTCTAGACATTTATTGGGGGGAACGGATAAGGGGATGGGGTGGCAGGAAATTCAAGGAGGGAGAAGGATTGTGGGGCACCAAAGCAAAAGTGGCTGCTTGGTTGGATCTTGGAGAATGAGGGGAGGTGTGTGAAAGGTGGATTACTTGGGATATGTGGTTGGAGATTAGGGGATTATGGCAAAATGATGGGGTTCTGGTTAGAGCTGGGGATGGGGCTTAGGATATCTGTGCAGAGTCTGGGGTGATGGGGTGGGTATCTGTGCAGTCTGAGGTTGAGGGTCCTGCTAGGCCTGGAATAGGTGTCCAAGGGTGGGGGGGTCAGAAAAAGGGTTTAAAAGTCTCGGATGGGGGCGCTGGCTGGGGTTTCAAGTCACAAGATGGGTGGGGGGAGTAGATTGTCCAGTTGGGAGTGAGGGGAAGGATCCAGAATCTTGAGGACCAGGCCTTGGATGGTCTGGGATATTTGAGGGGTGAAGAGGGATTCTGCTTAACTGGCCTAGTTAAGCAGGCCAGTCAATTGGCAGGGCTGTCCACACCATAATGTAGTGTTGGAGAGGGAAAGGGATTAAAATGGGACGTGGAGATATTTTAACAGATGAGTCAGAAGGAAGCAGAGGAGGGAGTTTTGAGTGGGTTTATATGCCAAGAAAGTGGGGTCAGTGGGGCCGGGAGACTGTCGGCTGAAGGGTTGTCCGTGTAGGGCCTGGAAGCTAGGGAGCTGTCAGGAGTCTGAAAGCTGGAGGGAGTGTGAGAACGGGAGTGTCAGTGGAATGGTCTAGTTACTAGGGAAGAGTCTACGTGGGAAGGGTCAGGGTAGGATCCCAGACTGGGTGGGTGGTTTGGGTGTGCTCGGGACATCTGGCTGGGTGGAGTCAGGTCGGCTTTAAAAGAGGGGGCCTGAGGCGGCTCCCGGGGTTCAGGCATGACGCCTACTTGGCAGCAGCCTGCGGCTGCGGCAGTGGGGCCTGTGGCGTTGTGGGTGCAGCCTGGATGGACAGGACGCCCTCTGGGGACAGCGCGGACGTCACGGCCGCAGGGTCCACGCCAGGCGGCAAGCGGTAGCGGCGGTGGAACTCGCGCGCGATGTATCCATGCTCATCCTGGAGAGAGAGAGACTTGAGTGGCCCCTCCCTTTTCCTATGGACGCCCCGCCCGTCCGGCCTGCGGATCCACCTACGCGTTCTGGCACCACCCCTACCAGCGGGCTCACCGGGCGCTCCTCGTGGCGCGCATGCACCTCCACGTGGTCGCCAACCACCTTGACGGCGATTTCCTCCGGGGAGAAGTGCTTCACGTCCAGCAGCACCGAGAAATGCCCGGGTTCCGTTGGGACCTAAGCACAGCCCGATCGTCATCGGCGGGGCGAGGCTCCTCCCCCCGTCGGTACCGGGGCTGTCCCTGTCGCAGGCCTCCGGAACTGGACAATCCATTCCTTTACTATTTGTAGCCCCAGAGGATCTCTTCACCCAGAATAACTGGGATCACCCCTCCCCCTGTGATCACTGAGATTCTCTCATCCAGAGTGATGAGGCCCCCTTCCCCTGCAAGATCAGGGCCTCAGCTCTCACAGGGTAAGGCCTGCCCCCTCCCCCAGTGTCAGAGTGCCCTTTGGACACTGAATCCCCAGGCCCCCATCCCTCAGAACCCCTGTTGCACTTACTGCACACCGCCCCCCCACCAGACATTGCCAAGATGCCTCTTCCCCCAGCTTCCAGAGTCGTCTTTTTACCCTCCCACTGGAGTCACGGGGCCGCTTGCGCCCTCAACAGTTACCAGTACTCTCCCCCCACTTCTCAGAGTGGCCAGGCTCCCCTTTGTCAAGTCACAGGACCCTTCCTCCCTTCTGTCTCTCCAGGAGGCAGAGGGTCACCACATGCATACAGTCTCCAAACTCTTCCCCGAGAATGACAAAACATTCCCTCCCCTCAGGAGTCCCTGGGAACCCCCATGCCCTTCAGAATAACTGAGCGCCCCCCTTTCCCCAGATTTCCTGGGTCACCAGCCTCCTTCAGAGTCACCTACGCTCCCCTCAGAGTGACGGCCCCACCCTATCCGTGACTCAGCCATTCCAGCCCCTCAGACCTGAGACCCTCCTCAGATGGGCAGGGACCTCCCACCCGCTTCAGTAATCCGGCCTGTGAGATTCCATACTCAGGGAACTCTGGAAGCCCCTCTGAGTGGCCGGACTCTCCACCCTGCTCAAAGTCGGGGGACATTCCTCACCCCGCCCCCCCCCCGGGATGACCGGGGCTCCAAGCCTTGCAAATGGTCGAGTTACCGCCCTCCCCCAGGCCTGGCACCTGGGCGGTAGGCAGCGCCACGCTGGGTGCGCGCAGGTAGTAGGGGGCCAGTGAGGCGGGGCAGAGCGCAGCCAGCTCGGCCTCCAGCAGCCCCTCGCCGAAGCGCTGGTCGAAGAGGCGCCCGGGCAACGGGGCCGAGGCGCGGCGCAGCCAAGACGGCTGCACAGGCACGGGGATCTCCATCCTGCTTCGCCGCCGCCGCCGCCGCCCCTAGGCTCCGCAGTGCCCCTGCGTTGCGCCGCAGCCGCTCTTATAGTACGCCTTGTGTCCGCCCCTCGGCGGGGCGCCCGGGGACATTGGGACCCGAGCCAGCCCCGGCCATTAATAGAGTCTTATTTAGAAAGCCCAACAATGACTTGGCCATTTATTAAGCGCCTGCTGGATGCCAGAGAGGTGATCCCCCGATTTCCCAAAGGGGAAACTAAGGCTGAGGAGGTGGAGCCTTGCCGAGTGGGTAGGACTGCGCGGCATTTGGGACCCAGGGCCCGAAAACCCCTGCGCAGAGTTCGCAGTCCCTTTAATCCACCCCCGCCCCGCAGGCAGCTCTGGGGATGACGCAGATGGCGGTCTTAGGAGCAGATTCTTGGGTACAGGGAATGTGGTAGCCGGCCAGGCTGTCAGGAGGACACAGAACAGACCCTACTCCCATCTCAGCAGGGCCTGGGCCCAGCCCCCCGGCAAGCCGGGCCTAATTCTAGGCCTCTGACTCAGCCTCGGGTGCGCAGGGTAGCGGGGTCTGCCAGGTGAGCAGCGGCCAGAGGGCGCGGGCACGAACAGTCCAGGCTGGCCCCCGAGGGGCCGCGCGACGGGCCCGAAATAGCTCATTTTGATCCCACCACCTCGGCTAGGAGCCCAGGCCTGGCAGTTAGCGGAACCAGCTGCTCCTGCAGCAAGACGGAAGTGGTTAATGACTCCGCGGGACTGGTTGGCTGGCCCGACTGATGGAGGGGCGGCGGTTAGAGACGGGACAGATTCCCCGATTGCCCTGCAACGCGAAAAACGGTGGTTACATTGGAGTCGGGACAAGACTTCCGCAGCAAAAAGGGGGAGTGGCTCTAAGACACGGCAGGAAAGCGAGAGTACTTTATGACCCCTCCTAACCGCGAGCTCACCCTCAGATCCTTTCCATTGGTCCACAGGCTTGCCAATTACTGCTGCACGCTACGGTTCTCCAATCAAACATGCTCTCTCAGTCAAGCCGAAGTTACAGCCAGTTGTGCGACATCTTCCTTTGGCCACTTTCCAATTACTTTTATTTTCCTCTTCATCATTGGTCCCCTTGGAGGCCGCTCTCTTCCCGCGCGGGCACTCCGGGAGAGGGGCGGGCCTGACAAGGCATTGCTAAGCGACAAAAATGCGCGCGGGGTCAGCCCGGTGAGGGAGCGGAGCTGGCGGAAGCGCCCAGGTAGCTGCGGGATGGACCGCAGGTGAGACCGATCCTTCTCCCGGGGACCGCAGGAGGCCTGGGGAGGACTTAGGGTGAGATTAACACAGCGTCGGGTCAGGTTTGCTAGGGTCCGGAGTCTCTTTTTCAACCGCACTGGAACTACAACTCCCAAGATGCTCCACATCCTTTGGCAGCTCCAGCCCAGGACTTCACCATCGGGGTCCCGTAGCGTCTTACGTTCCGCTTTCCAAGTGGCTCCAAGGGCTTTTCTTTTTCCTCTAGGGGTGTCCAGTGTCATCTTGGGAGTTCAATTTCTGAATTTTAAAACTGCCCCCAGATTCCGGTGGGTGTGGGTTTTGACCTTTCTAGCTTAGGCGGAGCCCAGTTACTGATGGGGATTGTAGTCCATTTACCATTTCCTCCTTCGTGTCCCCAGGGCTTATGGGAATTGTAGAGAAACAGGGTTTAGCCCTGGTTCTTAACCCGAGCTCCACTTCAAAATCACCTGGGACGGTGCGAAAGAGATACAGATAACCAGCCACCTTCCAGATATTATGATTTCTGGGCGCCTGGGTGGCTCAGATGGTTGAGCGTTTGCCTTCGGCTCGGGGTCATGATCCCGGGATCCTGGGATCGAGTCCCGCATCGGGCTCCCTGCTCCTTGGGAGCCTGCTTCTCCCTCTCTCTCTCCCTCTGTCTCTCATGAATAAATAAAATATTTTAAAAAAATGAAACCTAGGTTCTTAAAAAAAAAACATATTATGATCTCTTTTGGCTTGGAGTGAGGACCACATACCTGTATTTTTAAAAGGCTCTTAGATTGGATTCAGGGTTAAGAACCACCAGTTGGCAGTTCCTTGGTTTTCTGAGACTGCCCCCAAGAGCTGGTGGGAATCGAGCCTCTAGTACCATTATCTTGAATGTGCAGCGCTGCTTCATGGGAATTATAGTTCATCTCTTCCTGCAATCTATGGGAATTGTCATCTGGTTCTGCCCTCCTCTTCCCAACCCCAAAACCTGACTCCACCCCACAACCCCCGAACAGGGGGGCTCTGCCTGCCAACCTCACTCTCCCCTTGCAGTCTGCCAATTTTCTCCATCCAAGACAGCCCCTTTGAGGATACTCCCCTGGATCAAAGCCACTACTGGCCATCCCAAAGCCAGACCTGGCACCCCAAGGTGAGGACACTCCATAGAGAGTGGTGTGTGTGAGCCCAGCGGTGAGGGCGTAACAACTAGAGGGAAGGAGGATATGTGATGGGGGGGGGGGGTGAGGGTTAAGAGACAGTCCTTCCTCACGGCTCTGCCCCCACCCAGTCCTCTGTCACCTGGATCACCTATCGTAGCCCCCAATCACTCTTGAGTTGTTACCATTGTGGGATATGTTTCCTCCCCTCTTGCCTAAGACACACGTCACGTGTGCCTTCATTCCCCTACAGGGATGACCCCTCAACCCTCACTTTCTTCTCCCTACCTCCCTATCTTAGACCCTGAGCCCATCCAGGTCCCGGGGGTCCAGGCCCCCAGAAGCTCCCAAGGCTCTGACCACAGGTCCCAACTCCTCTGAACTGTTTGAAGAGTCCTGGCCGTCTAGCTCAGGAACCCCTTCCCCACCCAGCACCACTGAAGGACAGATGGGAGCCTCCCAACCACCCACCCTGGTTGACAGCAGGGAGTCTGTGGTGGCCAAGTAAGTAGCAGCAGCCCTGGAGGGGAAGAAGGGTTTGGATCAAGAGGTGGCAGGCATCCCATAATAATCACCATAGCCAGAGTTGTTTGTGCAGCACTTTTAGGACCACACTTTATATGTGCTATTAAGAGCTCTGGAGCTAGGCTGCCTGGGTTCAAATCCCAGCTCTGTCACTTACCCTCTGTATGAGCTGGGCCTCAGTTTCTTCATCTGTAATTTGGGGATATTAACAGCTCATATCCCCTAGGGCTGTTTTAAGCTTTCAATGAGTTACTGTCTATAAAGCATCTATAACAAGTGCTATCACATAGTGAGCCCTTGAATTTGTAGGATCCAAGTTCAGCTGCTCTAACAAACAGTCCCAAATTAATTGTGGCTCGAGCAAGATAGCATTTATTTCTCCCTCACCCAAACAGTCCAGGCAGAAGCAACCAGGGCTGATATGGCAGCCCCCGGCTGAGGTGTCAGGGGCACAGTTTGCTTCTGTCTTGTTGCCTCCCATCGCTAGGCTGTTGTCCTTTCCTTTATGGACCAACCATAGAGGAAATGTGGCTCCCAACCACATCCACTTGCCAGAATCACGTCTCATCTCATAACCCTGCTGATCAAGAACCTAGTTACATAGCCATTAAACTCTTGGGACCCCTGATAAATATATCTGTAGAAGAGTGGCTATGTGCCCAGTATTATATAGTCTTATATAATATTGCATTACTCTGTAAGAAGGAGCAGATGTTGAGGGACAAGTACTAGGTATTGCCAAAGTACTTGATAAACATCACTGTTGTGATTGTTATTATCTGTTGTTATTATTATTATTATTATTTGGCTCTCCTCATTCACTCACCTCCCATTCTCTGATGCTCACAGGTACATAAACCGGTTCCGCCAGGCTCAGCCCACAAGCCGAGAGGAACGCCAGCCTGCAGGCCCAACCCCAGCTGACTTTTGGTGGCTACGGCCTGGATCTCCAGACACCCCCAGTCAACTTGCAGCAGGTACCGGCTTCAGTCCTATCCACTGCTGGCCTAAAACCTTTCCTGATCAATGCCCCCAGCAGAGATTCCTCACGGCCCCCCAAAATCAACTGGGGCTTCTCAGCAGGAGTCAGTGAACCAGAAGGAAGACCCAGCACAGCAGTCCCAACTCTTGCAAAGGTGGCCAGCGCATCTCAGGCTAAGGCTGTGACTCCCCTTAAGGAAATGAAGCAGGTGACATCCTCATCTACTTTCTTCCCTATGTACCTGAACTGACAACACCAGCCCTAGGATAGAATTAGAGTCAATCCCCAATTCAAGGAAGCTTAAACAAAAAAGGAGGATTTGTTGGCTAACGCAGTCAAGAAATCCAAATGTATATGCTTTCAGGAATGGCTGGATCCAGGTGTTTGAACACTATTAGGAGGAACTCAACTCTCTTGACTCTCTGTTCCTCTTTCTTGGGCTCAATCTCGGGCAGGCTTTCCCCTTGAAGTAGTGAAGATAGCCCCAGTGATTCTAGGCTTCTAACTTACATAGTCACTTCAGTGGGAAGAGGAGGATTCTCCAGTAGTCCCATCCAAAGCCCCAGCGCTTACTCTCATTCATTCATCTTTGAGCCAATGACTGTGGAACCAGAGGACAGATTGTTGTGATTAGCCAGGCCTGGTCAGGAAGGTGGGGTCAACCCTTCTCCCACAATAATGACTACAAGGAGGGGTGTACAACCCCCGAGGAAAACTGGGTCCCCCTTCCCTGAGGAGGAGGAGCGGATTCCTTAGAATGGCTTACCAGCATGTGAGGATACCAGGTGGAAGGCAGACCTGTACTCCAGGCCCTCTGTCCAAAGCCCTTTCCCAGCACCCTTTAAGATGGGGGCTAGCCTCTAATCCCTCTTCCCTCGCAGAGCCTCAACACATGGAACTCATCCCTGCTGGACCTGGAGACACTGAGCCTGCAGAGCAGAGCTGCCAGGCTGCTCAAACGCAGGTGCTTTCCCTGCACCCATCCCCACTCCTACAGCTCCACACCCCGCCCACCGCCTCTGAGACCCCCTGTTGCCTCGCTTCTGCTTTCTTCCTACAGCAAGGCCTCCATTTCCTCCTCCTCACTCAGCCCTAGCGATACCAGCAGCTCCTCATTCCCCGTCAGCTCTGATGGGCTCTCTCCCTTCTCCGCGACCTTCATCCCTGACTCCAGCAAGGGCTCTGACCCCAAGGCACACGGTAAGTTCGGAGGCAAGGATGGAGAAGAGACTGGATGTGAATCCCAGCTCTGACATTTACCGGCTGGGTGACCTGGGGCCTCTCTGGGCCTCTCTGTTTCTCCAGCTTTAAAACAGGGGTAAATAAATGAGTTGGGGGATGCAGGGAGCTCTTGCCACAGGTCCTGACGGTACCTATCATTAGTATGACAGGCTCTCTCCGCATCCTGTTTGCAGTTCTGAACACAAATTTCCAAATCAGATGGCTTTTTGCTCATTTGGCCCTGTACCTGATTGGAGAGCAGAATCTGACCTAAAGAATAAGAAGGCTGTTTATCATCTCTATATCTCATTGAGGGTGAATAGATATACTTTCTGCTATGGCTGTGTTACTTTGAACCATACGAAACTTTTGTCTTTGTCAGTAAAAAATGGTTGAATATGGACAGTTTCATATTGTTCAACCAAATACTGTGTTTGAGTCTGGTATACTGAGCAAGCCCCCTGTTGACGCTGGACTTTGCTGAAGCAGGCCGACTATTGAACGCTCAATTCCTGCCACCTGAAGTCTTCAGATTTCAGGGATGGGATTAAGGACCTGGATTACTAGTACTCCATGACCAGGTCCTGGGGCACAGTGGCGCACAGGACAGATGCTGTCCGTGTCTCATGGGGCTTGAGTGAACAGGGGACAGGGAGGCACGGTAAACAGGGAGGTGTCCTGCGTGGTGTATGTGATCCTGGCTGAGCTCTCGCTCGTCTGATTCTTTGCTCCTTTTCGGCTTCACCTCACCTTTTATTCACCTCTCCTTCCTGAGCCTCAGTTTTCTCATCTGAAAAATGGGGATAAGACTAGTACCTACTGCATGAGTTGTCCTTCAGATTAAATTTATTCATTCTTTCATCTAAAAAACACTGAATACTTATTGTGGATGAGGCCCTA